CCCCCCCCCCCCCCCCTCCTATTTTTTTTTTTTTTAAGTTTAATAGTTCCACTTACCCTCTTCCCACTCTTAGCTCTGTACCCGATCTCCTCCTTAGTCAGCCTGCGGCGGTCCTCTTTGGACAGAATGACAATTTGGCATTCTGCCCATTTCCTGTGAGCCCAACCTGTGGTTTACATGCCCACCTAGGGAGCACGTCATCACACAGGCTGGGCTCACAACACACCAGGACTGGGTGATGCTTACACTTTTTACACGAGCATTGCTCAGTTGTGGAAGAATGCCCTCCTGAAGAAGAGCCTGCTGTGTTGCCATTGGACCGGCTAGAAGACTTCAGGAATAAAGGTATATATGGGCTTTAAAAAACAATACCAGAGTGTGAGAGGCTGTGGGTGGGGGTTACATACCTCGGGTTCATAGCTTCATCACAGATACATAACTTTTTCTTTTTTTTTTTTCCGGGGAGTTTTCTCTTTGATGAGATGGTTTGGATAATTCAAGTCCAGTTCAACCAGTTCAGCTGTTGGCAGAAGATGGGGTCAGACTGGCACTTTAGCGCTGCTTCTGAAAATGAATTTAGTACTTTCCATATAGTTTTGTCTGTCCTGTCACAAGGTGTATTTAGAGATTGTTGGTCAATGTGACAGACAAGGCAATTCCTGTCTGGAAATGTTGTGAAGGTCTCTTCCAGGTCTGGAGAGACATTGTATTATCAGACGCTTTTGCAACATAAAAACTTTCAGTTACTGTGTAACATGTTAGAAAAGGATTTGGTAATATTGAAGCTGAACAAGAAGTGCCTTTCTCGCATCTCCTTAGTCTTTTGGGCAAAATCTTCAATCTTTAGTGCTTGTTGTCTACCAACAAATTGAGTGACCGAGACCTGAGAAGTGGGAAGAGATCAGGTTTTATTAGACCATGCAGATCAAAGTGTCAACAAGGTGCGGACCTGGCTGGCCAGGTTCAAAGACGGCATATTTTATGAGACTTTAGGTTCTCCTATACCAGTTTACACTTTCCAATACAAGTTTACACTCCCAGTACATAGAGATCTATATTTATATATATATATATTTTGTATGGATATTTTGATTTACTTATCTTTAACATGGAGTAGATCAGCTGGTCTGATACTTTTTTTTTTTTTTTCTCCAAGTTCTCTAATCTTCTAGCACATAGTCTTTGGGGTGGCAGAACTGTACAGAATGCCTGTATAGCTATATATTTGCTGTCTAGTCTGATTTTTATTAGCAGCGTCTGTTCAAGAGCTGCCAATGATATTACATAGCAGTGTAGCCTATATATAGGCTAAATCCTAGCTGTGCTCACTGAGAGTATGTCATAGTACAGGCTGAGGGGGCTTTGTGTTCACGGGGTTCATATAAACTAAAATAAAGAGACTACTTAAATCTGTCTTTGTATGTTTTCCATTATTTGTTGCAATGGTGCAATTGTATGAACTCCTGCAGTCCCGTCTACCACTCATGTCAGTGCTTTGTGTAAGACTTTCATCGGACACTGCTGCTAACCTTAGTAATGAGGTCGGCCTTGTAAAGAATTAGAAACGGTTATCATCAGAAAACCTGGTGAGGGGATTATTGCCCTGGGAATGCAACTCGCAGCGAAACACATGCTGGGTATGCCACATGTAATACAACGGACAACGTGAACTTTGACCTCCAGTCTTAGAAGAAAGTAAGCAAACAATTGATTGTGCTCAATACTCCTCTACCCGAACACAGCTAATATATAGATATCCAAAGGACATAAAATAAACATAAAGACCAGACATAAATCAAAAACATAAACAAAAAACTAATAATTAAACTATATATATATATATATCTATCCTTCAACTCAAAAGCCTTCAATAAAGTATTTAGTATCACACAAAGTGCAAATAAATATATGTGCAATAAAACAAAAAGTTATTTTTATATAATGTCCACAATGTGCAAACATTCCAAAGAGTGCATCTTCCTCAGTGCTTGCCCAGGCTCTCTAGATAATACATTCACTGAATATTGTGTGATCCCTTATTTAAAGGTAGGTGAAACTAGGAAAAACAAAATCCAGACCTGCTCATTCAGAATTCCTTTTCATCTTTTTTCTTTGCAGTATACCCAACATCCAGGGCACCCAATGGAAGGAAATTGATTGTGCGGAATCTTTCCCCAGGGATCAATGCTTGTTCTCAATATACATGTACCAGATCCGTCATCCCATTCATATGAGACAAAAAGGAGAGGCCCATAGCGTAAACGTAACCCCTTCATTAAAAGCATCCAATATACTTACACAGTGAAGTGCATAAAACCCGCACTGGGTACAAATAGCCGGACATGTGACATGAACGCTCACTAGCACATAGATGTACACTGTCAGGCCACTGCACTGGTCAGGACAGACACATTTATGTTTATTGCTGCACATTGGAAATTGAGGCGCATTGTGTCACGTTAGGAAGCCCATTTAAAATGAATTGGCTGTAATGCACCTACATAAATATTTTGGTTCTGCTGCATATTCTGCAAACAATGTAAGTTATCAGTGGCCACAAAAGAAAAAAAACTCAAGCAGAAGTGTTAGCAGATGCAATAATTTAGTAAAGGAGTAATCCATAAAATTAATAACCTATGCAGAAATGAGAGGGGCATGGGAACCCAACATGAAGAAAATCATGAAGATTTGTGTTCTGTGAAGCTGCCAAATCTATCCAGGAATGGGGTCCAATCACAATTGTTATCATATAGATGTGGAATGCTCATCTCCTCAAATGGCTGGGAAAACACAATTCTGTGTATCACAGCCAACAGACCTAAATGATGATCTTTCCCATAATGAGATGATTGTTGAAGTGCAGCAACACTGAAAACCTGCTTACACGGAAAGGCTCACCTGGGTAACTTGCAGAGTGGTCATACTCTGTCAACAGTGCTTGATAGGATATTTATCTACACGGCTGGTAGTATCCGAGATAATCAATCCAGCATAAGGCACTTCATTATCAACTTCAGTTTAATGGCCATCACTCCCTCAGTCACTCTTCAAGAGGGAGCAATCACTACCTCAGACAAATCCAACAATTATCTCCTTGTTATGGAATGGTGTCTGTTGGCTGTGATGCACAGAATTGTGTTTTCCAGCCAATTGGGAAGATGAGCATTCCACATCTATACCATAACAATCGTGATTCTACTGATACCATTTATATTTTTCAACAGACACAAAAATAACTTCAGCTTTGGTGTCACTGGTCACAATGATAACCTCCAGCATTGGTGTCACTGGTCACAATAATAACCTCCAACATTGGTGTCACTGGTCACAATGATAACCTCCAGCATTGGTGTCACTGGTCACAATGATAACCTCCAGCATTGGTGTCCCTTAGAGCTGCAACAGTTATTCGATTAAGTCGATTAAAATTGACGATGGAAAACGTTGTCAACGTTTTCCATCGTCGATTCTCACAATAATAACCTCCAGCATTGGTGTCACTGGTCACAATAATACCCTCCTCCCCTTTTTGTGGTCTGTGCAGTGGCAGTAAAATGTAACAATCAGGTTGGGCAATGAAACTTTCACAAGCCACCAGATGTAACTGTATGATGCGTAGATCTGACCAAGACAAATGTACTTCCCAATAAAAGAACAATAAATGAAAGTTATGTAATGATCTTTAGTCTCAAAGTGAAGATACATTTCTACACTTCCATGTGGTACCATTTTCATTGTTCTCCCGTACTTTTTTGACAAG